TTCTGATAGTTTCTACAGTCTCCTTTCCTGATTTAATATCTGAAGCAGAAGGCATGATATTTTGCTGCATTGCTTCCAAATAGGTCATAATTGCTGCACTAGAGAAAAATCCTGATACTGCTTTTACCTCGTCATTTTTAATATAGTATCCTAGGAAGGGTTTTCCACTTAAAGGATCCCCTTAAATGAATACCTCATCATAGCTCTGAGCATATCCAACGTATTAAATAGATTTGTTGTAATTTCTAGTCCAGAAAAATGGAACCCTATTAAAAACCTAACTTTGCCCAAGCATATTGAAAGCGGCATTAGAACCCTAGTCTTAAGAGGTTATGTAATGTTCTATTCTAATGTGAGAATTGTCACCAGTTTAATATGATACAGCATCACCTGCAGCAAAAATATCATCTATATTAGTTTGCAATTTGTTATTGCAAACCAATGCTCCACTTTCATTGAGCTAAATACCTGAATCCTTAAGGAATTAAGTTGATGGAGTCACACCAGCACCTACAATTACTAGATCTGCTTCCAACTTTGTTCCGTCATTAAGAATAACATGTTACACAGAATCGCCAGTCCCACCAATTTCTGTAACAAGCTTTTGCATATGTAATTGCACACCTGCTTGCTTATGATCTTATAGTATGACCTTACCAACTTCAAAGCCAAATTATCTTTCCATTGGAACTCTATCTCCATGAACTAGATGAACATTAACTTTATCCCCGAATTAAAGCTTTAATGCTGAGGCACATTCAGAGCCTATAAATCCCCCACCTAGGATGACAATATTTTTAGATTTTGCAGCTTAATCTCTTATAGCTGCTTAGTGATAATGATCTCTCAAGGCATGGACATTCTTAAGGTTAATTCCCTTAATTTTTGGTAATACTGCGCTTGTTCCAACTGCTAAACACAATTTATCATATCTCTAAATATAGAATATAAATTAATGAAGCTTACCAATGTTTAATTATTACTAAGTTGAACTAGATTATCTTTTGCAATTATTCTTTCAGCTCTTGTTCCTAGAATTAGATTTATCTAGGCATCATTTTAAAGATATTCTTCAGATCTTAGTTTCATCTAAGAAACATCTCCAGTTGCAACAGCTTTACTGAGTGAAGTTCTATCATAAGGGGCTACTGAATCAGCAGACACCAAACTGATTTAACCTGTAAAGCCCGATTGTCTCAAAGCTTCTGCACAGTTTAAGCCTGCAGGGCCACCTCCAATTACTATAAAGTGTCTCTAATCATTTAAGTCTCTTTTTGCTAATTATTAAGATTTAGTTTAAGTCAAGACTTCTGGTACTTGAACGAAGGATTTACCATTTTTACTTATAATATTATATTATGGGACTCCATCTAGAGCAGGACCACCTTCAATTGCACCTGATTTAAGATTGAATGATGCTGAGTGCCAAGGACAAAAGACTCTATCTCCTACAATTGCTCCAGTATGCAATGGGGCTCCAAAATGTGAGCAATAGTTCCCAATAGAGTAAATATTATCTTCGAACTTTGCTACAAGTACTGTATCATTCTCCTTTGCACCGACCTTCAAGGGTCTCATATTGCCATTTTGTAATTAGCTTGCAAAATCAATTTCTACTTCTTTTACTGATGAGAATCGTCTAGAACTTATATTTTACTTAGAAACTTGCAAAGATTATGCATCCTTAGAAATTTGTTTATGAAGTCTAAAGCTACTCTTTAGGAAATAAGAATATCTTTTAATGCCTAACATTTTAATATATTTGTCTGAATTATGTATGTGCTAACCTTATATGATAACACGGGGTTTTGGGGTTTTGGGGTTTTGGGG